CAGTTTTCCCAGAAGCCAATTTACCCACCAGCACGTCTTTGGACTGTGCTGTCACCCAGATAAAACCCATGCAAATACTGGGAGAGCATGCAAACTCCACACAGACAGCACCCCAGGTCTGGAATTGAACCCTGGGCCCCAGTACAGCGAGGCACCACTGCACGACTCCCTGTTCTTTTAGACACGCTAATATTTCAACAGACCTGTACAGTCAGCTTGGGGTGGAGGGATTTGATCTTCACAAGCCTGTCTTATCTTTGTTTTTCAGGGCTTTGCTTAAAAACTGTTCGCTTCACATTGTCTCTGCTAAAGCTCCCCCTTGAGATCTTGGTCTGACTGAAAGAGACTGCCTTCTCTCATCATGAAAAACTAATCCCTGGCCAGCCTTAGTTCTGCATTTTAATCCCAACTTAATTTTTATTCAGTGTCTGTGTCTGCTCCATTTTTATAATGACCATGTGTCTTCTGTTGCACCTCTTTCCACCTGTGTTTCCTATATGACTATCCTGCAATTTTCTATCCTTATAACTGTTCGTTTTGATGGGCTTTGAGATGCTACTGTTAAAGGCGCTATATAAAACAACGTTAATTATCGTACATGACTTGTGATTTTATTTCTTTTTTTTCTTCTGAATGGGGAAGAATGGGTATTTTCTAGGTATAGGTCACAAACTCAAAGTGCATTTTGAAAACTACAGAAAAATGAGATTCTGAGGGATTCATTGAGTTGATCATCTCTGTATTCCACAGTGTGGATTCATACAGGTGAGCGGTACTGGGAGGGAGGATTACTGTAACTACTGTGATTGATATAACTGGATTCTGCACTGACACTACAAGAGTGAATGAACAGCTCTCCAGTGAGGGTGGCTTGGCAGACACTGACCCAGCTGGCTGAGGATGAAGGAGTTGGTGTTGCCGGGCAGGACGTGGGGTCCCTGGAAGTCGGGCTGCGGCACCCTGCGGTGGTACAGCTTGAAGCCCTCCACCTTGCCCGGCTTGCTGGGCAGCTCCCAGAAGGCCTGGACCGCGGTGGCGTTGACCATCTTGGTGAAGAAGCTGGGTGTGGCAGGCACTGAGAGGGAAAAACAAAAAGAGATTGATGTCACATCAGCTGGATCCAGGCTTCGGCGTCTTCTCCTCTTACCGATCAGCTCTCTGCAGTCCTCTCCTGTGTGCCTGTGATACTCGCCTCATCTGCATGGCTGTGCTGCCCCTGTGTCATGACTGCTAATTTGTTTTCTTTCCTTTCCTTAGAGGCAGCCATGTCACCCTGCAGCTCTCAACTGGCTACCCACTGGAGCTCAGCAGGTGTGAGCCTGGTCAGTACCTGGATGGGGGACTCCTGAGAAGCTATGGTTGCTGCTGGAAGAGGTGTTAGTGGGACCAGTAGGGGGCGCTCACCCTGCGGTCTGTGTGGGTCCTAATAGTGGTTGGGACACTAAACTGTAGTGGGCGCCGTCTTTCGGATGAGATGTTAAACCGAGGTCCTGACTCTCAGTGGTCATTAAAGATCCCCGGGCATTTCTCGATGAGAGTAGGGAGTTATCCCGGTGTCCGGGCCAAATATCCCCCCTCGGCCTTTACCGTGGCCTCCAAACTGTCCCAATGTGTGACTGGCTTGCACTTGCCCTGTGATGGACTGGCGCCCCCTCCAGGGTGCACCCTGCCTTGCGCTCACTGCTTGCTGGGTTGGCTCCGGCTTCACGCAACACCGTACGGGACACAGCGGTTTGGCAAATGACATGACATGACTTTCCTTCAATAAATACCCCCCCAATTTGGAATCGCCATTTGCTTCTGACTCATCTTCATGACACCGGGAGTTTGAGGCTGTGCCTGAATGGCCACCTGTCAGAGCCACTCGCCATTTGACATGCTACAAATCACACACTGCCTCATGGGAGACAGGCTGACCAACTGGAGAGGCTCCTGACCAGCACCGGCAAGCTTGCAAGTGCCTGGAATGTCACAGGAGTTGATTCTGCACCGAAAATGGATCAAAACCCACCCATCCCCAGGGAAAATACCTGCCACAGCTGGTTAATGACATCTCCTTCGTCACGGTACTTACCTGCA